TCCAAATCCACGTGGAAGAAATTCCTTAAATCAAGACACATACTTTTGAAGTACTAAATTCTAAAGATCTCCCATTCAGAAATTGTTAAAATGCTGCCTATAGCCAAGAGGAAGCAAGAAAAAGAATGTAAATGCTTTGCATTTCACCACTGAACAAACTATTAAAATATTATATTGGTAGAAACTTTCACTCTGCTATCACATTTTACCTGTTATTTGGAATTACTATTAATGAATTGATTTGACAAATAATATGTCTAACTGAAAGTTGTTTTTGCATTTATCAGATAATGAGGAAAGATAAGGCATTACCTAACTAAATCGGATTAACAATGTAATTTCAAATGTGAAATTTAATTATGATCCAAAGAAATGATGCATCAGACTTCCATTTGTATCATCCATCTACTAGGAATATAGGGAACTCTGCTGGCCTGGTAGGTAAGGAGTTAAGCTGCCAACCCAAAGGCATTAGGCTCAAATCCATCTGCTGCTTTGCAGGAGAAAAATCGGCAATTTTCTCCTGTGTGATAAACATCCTCTGAAAACCTACTGGAGTGTAGCTATGAGCCATTTCCAAGACGGTGATTTTGACTTGACTGGTAATATAGGTCTTTGGAAAAAAATTGCATTTACCCCATTATATCTTTCCTTCATTAGAACATCACTGAATAATATTTTATGGACTCAGAACAGATATTTTTAAGTCCTCAAATCATCTAAGCCTAGTTTTCTAAAATGAGCTAGGTAGTAAGTCCTGTGAGGCCAGGGTTGTGCTCCAGGACCAAACACCAAATTTTGTGTAGAGTATAGGAGTCCTTGACAAATATTTGTCAAAGAAACCAACAAATAGCTAAAAGACAATAAAATGTAAATATAAAAAAAGAAAAAATGTAAATAATGAATATTTTTTAACTTCTTGTTGTTAGATGCCAATGATTGACCATAACTCATTTTTTGAACTTAAGAATATAAGTATTTCTATAGTTCTACTTTTATAAAAGTTTTATGTATTTAAGTGATTCCTGCAGCATTGTCCCTAACTATATTATGCATATTATTAACATGTTGGTTTTTTTAAATTCAGGGATGTGTTGTTTTTTTACTAGAATTCCAACTTGGCAAATACATATGGGTTATAGAAGGTCAATGTAAATTATCGGAATCATTATCATGTGGCATGGTCTGCTGCTGCTTCAAATGCACAATATGACTACTGTACCTCTACTTTTATTCACTTAATTTGAAATATTAATAAAAAAATCTGTATTTTCCTGTGGTATATTGGAATTCTGGATGTAAAATCAGAGACATGGAAGAGGTCAGGTTCTACTATTCAGTTGATACCTGTGTGAACTTGAACAAAATAACCTCCCTGGTCCTTGATGGGTAAATAGTTTCTAATTCAGGGCATTTTTTGCTGTGCAAATTTTAAGGGAAAATAATTTATTGCTGACTTTTCTTGGCTTGTATCTACTTGAGAGTGAGTATGTTTTGACAAGAAATTAGTGAAAACTGACAGTTGGAATGTATTCTCTTTGTGACAAGATCCAGTTACACTGAAATAATACTTGATCAAAATGCTTCCTTCAAAGCAGCTGGGTTTGCTACAATGGAGAAATTCTTTGTGAAAACATTTAGTTACAAATTAAGTCAACTGCAGGGAACTACATTGTCAAGTCATCTTTGTATATATGTGGTTCAGGTCAAGACATGTACCAATCACCCATTTGACTGTTAAGATGTCCTTGAAAACTATAAACTCACCATTCTCAAGCCAGTTCCCATTCACAGCGACCCACCAGTGGGTTTTCGAGGCTTTAAATCTTTATAGGAGGAGACGGCCCATCTTTCTCTGATAGTGCAGCTTGTAGATTTGAACCGCTGAGCTTTTACCATTATATACTACTCTACTGGAGTTCTTTGTTAAGGTGGACTGAAGACTCAAATGAATCATTCTTGGGACTGTGTTGTTTTGAATTCACTCAAATAATCCTGGTCACTGACATTTGTCAATGGTTCCTGATTCAGGAAACAATGAATGAGATTTCCCAGCAGCAGACACTTTTCACTAAGTATCCTCTGGAACAAATCTTTGTTTCACTAGAGATGTTTTTTTTCTTCTATTTTTTTGTGGGGTGAGGAGAAAGTATTTGAAGTTATAGTCCTGCCAATTTCACTGGTTGACAAGTAATGTAAAACATTAAAACACATATTATGTAGTAAAACGCAGCATTTACATGAGCTTTTAAGGTAAAACGTAAGACTTCAAAGGAACTCTGAACTCCGTATGTTCCCAGACTATACCAGGCATACATATACTCTGCATTTAAGTACAGTTCACTGAAAAGATTTAGGAAGCTCAGTGCAGGTGTATCGTGGGAGATTTAAGGATTTTTTGAAAGGTACACTTCCCCCCACTAACTAAAGACTTTCAGCCCAGACTATAAGAAGAATTGAAGAATAAAGTTTCCATGGAATGCTTTTCTTGAACATTTTTCAGATGGGAAAAAAGCCTGTAGCTTAAAATGAAAAATCTTTTCAGTAGAATTTTTTTTTTTTCAAGGAAAAAACCAAGTAGGGCAGAGAGGACATGGTTTCTGATATTCAGCATTCTAGAGCATGGCTCTTGAAAGTAGGATAGTAATAACGTTAGAAGTGGGCATTAGTGAACTGACAGGGCAATAAGATAAGGTCCACTCATGCAGACAGAGAAATTAGAGAAGCAAGATTCATCAATATAGATGCATCAGAAAATAACTGCTTCATGAGATTATGCTTCAAAATTATTTTCATAACTTATTTACTATTTGTCTAATACTATATATTCTTGGTTGACTTTGAAAAACTATACATGTGTATAGAAAATTCAAACACTCTAGATATAAAAAAACTGATTAACCTTTAGTTTCAGTAAATAAATCCAAGTAATATAAATATCAACAATTAGTGACCATAAGCTCTTAAAGTTTATGTTTTGAAACAAACATAAAAACCATTAAGAAATTCTAACATAGTGCAAAAAGAAAGGTTAAAACTTATTTGCAACAGTTAGGATAGGTTGGATTTCAACTAAGAAAAAATGTGTTTCATTATCTGAGATATAATGACCAGATTCTGTTAATTAAAGAAAAGTTATTCCTTAAAGCCTCAGGTTACATTCTAAATATTTGGCCTGTTGTTTTACCCTTTAAAAAACAGAATAAAATTTAGAAGGTTTTTTCATTAAATCATAATTTGTGCTTGAAATTTGGCCCGGCACTTTCTTATTTCCCTGAACTATGTACACACACACAAAGCATTGCTTTGAGACAAAATCTGGACATTCCTGAGAAACCAAGGACTCATACCAATTTATAGTCTTAAGGGAGTTTGGAAATAATTTTGTCTTGGTTTTTGCTGGTGACCCAACTGGGAGAGGTTTTAGACGCTCATCCAAGACCACACATCTGGGAGTTGCTTATCTGGAGCCAGTCTTGATGTCCTGTGAACAAGGTGGTTAATGACATTGGAGTTCAAAGACCTACCTACGTTCTGGCATGGACTTTAGCAATGGGCAATCCATCAGCAGAATGACTTAACTCTTCTGGACTTCACCATTCTGAGTAGAAAATGCTGGAATAGCCCTCAGTAAGAGCAGTCTTGGCTGTTTCTGGGGGAGCAGGGAGCTGCTGATTGGAAATGCATAGGGGTATTGCTGGCTGTTGCACTTTTAACAGAAGGTGCCATTGGCACTGGGGCTCTGGGTCTTATAATGGGCATTTTCAAAAGGAACAATTGTCCCTTTCCAAATAATAGTACTCCTTGAACCTGCCAACTGACAAACACTGGATGGCACATTGGCAGGTCAGGGCTTGTTATGGTATCTCATCCTCATACTTAATTCTGTTGATGAGGGGAAAGGCATCTTACCTAAACGCCTTCGCTTTTTGTTTCTTGTAAATCACACAACTGCCATTTTGGTATATCTGAATTCTATGCCCCGATTTTTAGGCAGAAACGGTTGGGATATATGTGGAAAATACAGTCTTTAGATAGCCAACAGATAATTAAAAGAGAAAAAGAAAAGGAATTAACTTTCAAATTTGGAGTGTTATATATATTTTAAGTTTTGTTGTATAGATAACCTTTCACCTGTTTTCAGGTTTGGGGGAAAAATGCGTTTTGAACTAGGCTGTGGCATAATACGTAATTTACTGGCAAAATTTCACAATAAAATGGTAGGTATTTTGCTATCTGGTCATTAAATCTTGCTTCTTTTCATGATTTCAAAAGCAAAGCACAAATGCCACAACTAAGCAGAAGCAAAAGGGGCAGAAGCACCCTATGAATGAAGTCACGAGTAAATGAAAATACTGTATTCCATTAAACAAACGTACATACGAGCTGTGTAACCAAAAGCAAGCTATGTGAGATGGTTTAAGAAGAGGCTGCAGTTTTTGCAACCGGAAGTCTGTACAGCCCTTCCAGGAAGCAGCTGTCAAGGGAGGGCCTATCTCAGAAACTTGTTTTCCTATGCTCTTGACACTTTACATCCCTGGCCCCGTTATTTACAAAGTTATGCATTTCCCAAGCGCAAAGCACCTTGCTCCTCAGAATTATGAATGCATGCAATGACATTTCATCCTTTCATGTGTAAATTCTACAATTAACCTGAACAGAAAAGTTAGGAGTTGAGATATGTCTACAATTTGAAATGAAAGGATCAAAAATGTCAGACATTGCAGCATACGGATTCCTAATTGAGCTCTCTTTATTTGTTCACTGGTCTTCAGCTGGTTTGGTTTTTTTTTTTTGTTTGTTTTCTTTGTTTGTTTGTTACAAAACGTCGTCTTGAGTCTTTATTTAAACAGTACTAGACTAAACTGTTCATGCCATGCAAAAAAAAAATAACATTTTCTGCACTTTTTTTTTGCAGGGGGAGGGGCTTCCCATGTATTAGTTCCCAGGCATTATTAACTGCTAAGAAACAAGGTATATTTTATTGCTTTTGTAACTAGTCACATGCTGGTTTCACGCGTGGAACAGTAACCTGTGTCTCCCGGGTTGGAATGAATTTCTGGGGCAAACAAGTGGTTCTCCATCTTGCCCCCTTCTTGGTTACCGTCCTTACTCACTTCGCCCACAGCATGGAAACTGTCTGGCCTACAGTTGTGATCTGTGTTCTGGGGGGAGGAAGAGCCTACAGAGGCTTCTTCTCTTAAAGGGTCTCTCCCACCACTAGGCTTCTCTGCAAAGCAGTTTGGGCTGGGGTCTGCCTGCTTTTCCTGCTTTGGCCCTTGAAGCTCCACGAAGTCATCGTCTTCTCCCGTGTCTATTTCCGTAAAGCTCCTCCTCTCTCGCGAAGAGAAAGGAAATAGTTTTTGCTTGGGAAACCGAGGGGACAGCCCTTTGCTAGGTCCTTGACAAGGTGTTGAAACCTCAGCACCCAGCAGAGGCCTGTCCCCCTGGGGGGAGTTTTCTTCTAAGAGGATGGTGCTGATGTGCTGGGGGGTGGTGAGCGAAAAGTCAGCCATCCTTACTGGCAGTGGCCTGGCTGTGCTGGGCGGGGTCTGGGGCGCACTGCCTCTGTTTTCCTTAAAGTTCACTTTGAGGGACCTGGACTTCAGCGGGTTTCTGCCTTTCAGTGAGCTCTTAGGGCTGTCCATGGCACTGTCGGGCTGCAGAGGACTGTGCAGCCCGCAATGGGAGCCGCTGGCCTCCAGGTTCACAGTTATGTCAATAGGAACGTATTCCAGAGTGGCGTCTCTGGCCGCTGGCCCCTTCTCTCGGGTTAGTGTCAGAAATGGGGGGGCCCTGGCTCTTTGGTGCTCTTCTGTCCCTGGGAGGTCGGTTGGGAACCTCATCTGCAGGTGCGAAGCAGAGGGTGGCGGCAGGGGTGACCGCTCAGTCTCTGTGAAGTCAGTGGCGCAGCTGGTGAAGCTGTCGATGCTGGACGTGCTCTTCATGTCCATGATGACCTCCGTCTGGGCCACGGCCAGCTGCTCCTGTGGGCAGACCACTTCCTCCATTTCTATCTCCTCTTCGTAGGCGGATGGCCTCTCGGACTGCTCCTGGGAGTCGGGGTTCGGGTGCGAGTGAGGCTGCGTCTTGGTGATTTCATTGTACAGCATCTCCAGCTTCTGCGCGCTCAGGTGCTGTGGGCTGGATGAAGACGTGTTGTTGAGCTGCTCGTGGGAGTCCTTCTGGCTCACCTCCTGGTAATTATTCTCGTAGGACTTGTTAGAGCTCGTTTCGGACAGCGCCTTCCTGGCCCACTTCCAGCGGCTTGGGGATAAGTGATTATCATCCGCGGAGTCCTTGGTGTTGGCAGAATCCCCCGTCTTCTCCACAGCGACATCGATGAGCTCCACACTACGAGCGAAGGCATCCTTCAAGTTCATGGACACAATGCTTCCGTTCCTTTTTGCCCTCTCCAGAGCCTCTCGCCTCTTGATTGCCTTCTCCTGGCGTTTCTGCTCTTTGTAAAACTCAGAGAAGTTGTTCACGATGATCGGGATGGGGAGGGCAATAACCAGAACCCCAGCAATACAGCAAAGGCCGCCCACTATTTTCCCTAATAATGTTTTCGGGTAAATGTCACCGTAGCCCACGGTCGTCATGGTGATGGTGGCCCACCAAAAGGAGGCAGGGATACTGGTGAATTTGGTGGCGTCTTCGTCCTTTTCAGCAAAAAATACCAGGCTGGAGAAAATCATTATCCCCATGGCCAAAAACAGTATCAGGAGGCCCAGTTCGTTGTAACTGCGCCTGAGGGTGAAGCCCAGGGATTGGAGGCCAGTGGAATGCCTGGCCAGTTTGAGGATTCGCAGGATGCGCATGATTCGGAAGATCTGAACCACACGCCTGACGTTCTGGAACTGCAGCATGTTCCTGTTGGACTCCGTGAGGAAAATGGTGACGTAGTAGGGCAGGATGGCCAGCAAGTCGATGACGTTCAACGGGCCTTTAAAGAACTTCCACTTGTTGGGTGAGGACAGGAAGCGCAGGAGGTACTCCATGGTGAACCAGGCGATGCACACGGCTTCCACGTGCGCCAGCTGTGGGTTGTCATTGGGCTGTCCAAATTTATCCTCTCCCTGCAGCTCTGGCAGCGTGTTGAGAGACAGCGCAATGGTGGACAGTATGATGAACAGGATAGAGACGATGGCCAGAATCTGAAAAAGAGAATAAAGCCCAGGTCAGCCAGTCAGTGGTTCAGGCAGCTAGTAGACACGGAGACGGATGCTCCTTTCAGTGGTACGAAATACTCAGAGTTATCCCAAGACTGTTTTTTTTTTTTAATTTTCATTCATTCACTCATTGTTGCACTTTTCTCCTTGTCCCCCCCTCCCCCCCTCCTCCCAGTACACTCTTCTCCTTGAAAAGTAAAAGAAAAATTCTGTAATTGTTTTACAATCCCTTCCCCCAGGTCCACTCCACTATGCAGCCTTCGTTTTGGACCAAGACAGTTTTAAAAGGTGGCTTCGAACTGCATGCCTTCGGGATTGCAGTGCAACTTCTTGGCACTAGGCTATCATAGCTCCCTCACTTGGGGCCATATACCTCAGTAAACATAGGACTACGAGAAGATGAGTTTATTTCTACCTTACATTAGGAAAAACTAAACTTTATCACATTTATTATTCCTTCTTCCTCTAGTTTCTTCCTTTAAATTCTTCTATTCTTGGGCTATTTTCCTTTCTCCTTGTAGCATTCATTATTCACCCCACCCCTTTCTTTCAATGCCTATCTTTCTCCTTAGATTGTTATAAAGTAAAAACTGTAATATATCTCAGATATGAAATGAAAGTTGACTGTCCCTTAAATAAGGACCCTTAATGCCACAGTACATGATACTCCTGGCTTTTAACTGAAAGGTTGGTGTTTTAAATTAACCAACTGCTTTGCAAGGGAAAGATAAGAAGTCTCCTTCTGTAAAGATTTTATAGCTTCAGAAACCTGATGGAGGGTCACCATGAGTTGGAATTCTTATGCTCTTTCCATAAAAAAACAAACAAACAAAATACCAAACAGAAACAGGTCCTTCTGTATATTTCATAGGTCTGACCCAAACCCAAACTATACCCCAGTGCTGTTGAATAACTTCTTATGGCAATCCTCTATTGGGTTTTTCAGGCTATGAATCTTAATGTAAGCAGACTGCCTCACCTTTTTTCTTGAGAAACTTCTGGTGAATTTGAACTACTAACTTTTGGTTAGCAACCCAATAAATAATTCCCTAGGCTACCAGGCCTCCTTCAGTAGATCACTCCAAGAGTGGTGCACATGATCTTCACTCAGTTACTAAATTCTCAGTTTGAACTCACTCAGTGATTCCACAAATGAAAATCTTCAGTAAATACAGCCAAGAAAACCCAACAGAGCTTGGTTCTATGGTGTCATGCATAGGATCATGATGGGTTTGAATAAACCTAGTGGCAACTTGTTTTGTTTTGAACAGGAGGTCGGACTTAAGGAGGCCTGCCTGTCTTAAGACATTTTAAACACTAGAGCTGCAGCACCATTCCTGTAATGATGATCCTACAGATGTTCCCCATTTGGTTTACTTGTCCATTTTTAATATATGTGGCCGATGGTTATTACTTTAAAGAAAAAGGAGTAAAACAGAAATACATCTTCCAACATCTAGAGAAAGGCTGAAACAAGAGCCCCAAGGCTGGTAATCTATGTTCATTTTTCTCTTGACTTCACAAAAAGAGCTTGAACTTAAATCCTTTTACAGTCTGTAGCTAATTATGGAAGGGGGATAATGGAACACACATGCTCATTGACATTGGGTTGGAAGCGACTCATAGCTAACCCACTATTGCATTTCTGGGGCCGTAAATCACAAGGGAAGGCAACACCCTTCTTCAGAGACACTAGCAGGTTTAAACAACTAGAAAGGCCTGGCAGTTAGATTAGCAACGCAACTCCCTACGGCCTGTAATTCTAACGTCTTCTATGGTCCAGTTGATTGCAACTGAACAAATATGGCTCTTTTTAATACCTAGAAATAGAACACATACACAAAATAATTTGGAGTACACACTTGAAGACAAAGAATGACTAAACAAACAAACAAACAAATCCAAACATTTAAACCCTTCACAACCCCACATTTATTTTAAAGGAACCATTAAGTACAGAAGTGGATTATTTTCGATCTCAAGTTCAAATTCAATCTCAGTCAAAACCCATTCGCTCCCAATTTAAGAAATGGCTTAAAGATCTTGTGAAGCATGAGTGTTCCTACAAAGAAAATATTTTCGACAACTTATTCAGTGTATACCAAAGATTATGTATGATACAAAAAGGCAATGTAGGTTAATAGTTCTTTTTATAAAAGTGGGGTTTTTCCCCCTCCCTTAAACACAATGAATAACATAAATATAAAATGTTGTTCTGAGCTGTAGGATATAACTCTAAACATAGATGTTCATAATTAAATCAGAAAATTCTTGGGGCATTTACATAGTGCTTCCTTGATCTTATCAAATAAGTGAAGAAACCTGACTGACTCATGGTTTTGATCTCTATCACCTCCAATAAGCTGAGTAGGAAAGAGTTGAACTTTCTCCCCCTCAGTGTTAGGAAAGGGAATTATGTTTGTACATGCCAAAAATAGTGGGCATTCTGAGCTATTGCCTGTGTAATGGTGGCTAACCTTCCCTGGGGATTTATGGTAGGTAATCTTAAGATCCCTTTGACCTTCAGCATCTGCTAATTCTTTGTCTAAAACAGTTTGCTAATTCCAGTCAAGTCTGCTAAATAAATAAATGCAAAACACATAGCCATTTTGGCTTGAAAGGCCAAATATGATCTCATTACTTTTCTTAGCGTAAAATGAAAAAAAATTCTTCGAAACAGGAAATTTAAGTGGGAAGGCTTTGAAAAATATTACATTGAGTATCTTTCAAGCCTTAATTACTGAGAATAGAAATTCTACATGGATAATAAAAAATCCCCCCTTTGATTTTCCAGAATAATTAATTCTTCACTTAGACACATACATTCACAGACCATGTGAGCTTAAGAAAAAGGTTCCACCCTTTGTATTATTTGGTTAGTGGGAAGTAAATACAAGTTGGATGAATTCATTTCTGTTTGTGATAGGAAATAACAAAGAAGTTTGCCTCAACTGTAACAGCTTCTTATTTTATATACTTTGAAAAGAATGTGTATTTTGTGGTAGTAAGAACACAGAACAAGGACTTAAGACTCCACCCTTATCTGTGGGACAAGTCAATTTCAGTTTCTTCCCTTGTAAAATGAATGAACTGTCTCATATTTTCAACCCTTGCTTTAGAAGGTTGCTAGAGATTAAACTAGAATATGAAAGCAAACTGTAAAGTTTGACATGTGTAAAAAATGTTGGAGATGTTTATGGAATATGCCATTGGCGGCACTGAGAGGAAATACCCCTCCTTAAATGGTTTATAAACCACTTAAATAACAAACTCAGATCTATTTTGTGTTGATGTTTTTAATATGTTCTAACATACTCTCTGCTTTACCTCCCCTGCCCAGTTTATATTATTTTTAATTTTTATAGATTTGAGTGAAAGTTTACATAGCAATTGGTTTTCCCTTCAACTATTCTATAAACTTTGTTTTAAGATCAATCACAAATTCACAATATAACTGCACTCTTCCAGCTTCTTCCTTATGGTTCTCATTTCCAGCCATCCAAGCCCATTGTTTGTCTTATGTATGTGGATTCCCAAAGCTAGGTGCATACATATTTATGACTGATAAATCTTCTTGGTTAACTAGTCACTTTATCACTATACAAAGTCCATTTACATCTCCCCTGAACAGACCCTTAAGGGACATCTGCCTTGTCATGATCTGAGAGAGCATATTACATTGGTTGTGGGTGGAGTCTCCACTCAAGATGGCTGCTTCTTAGCACACAGTTGCCTCAGGCAGCTCCAGACTATCAAGAAGGAGCAGATGGACCCAAATGGATTTCTTGGAGAACCTGATACGTTGGCTTCAGAGGCATAAACTATGGGGTCTTCAGGAAGGCGGGTAGACAGTGTGAGCAGATTCCACCATGGGGTCTTCTGTAGCAGTTTGTAACAGCCTGGAAACCAAGAATCACCAGGTATGGGAAGAGGTACCACCATCTGGTCAGATCCCATGGAGGTCTTCCTTGGGCGGTCAGAAACCCACACGGAGTGCAGCTGTGAGTACAGACTCCGCACAAAGACTCTTGCTTTTTAATACACAGTGGCCTCAGTCAGCAGGCCTCAGAGCAAATGGAAGTGGGCAGACTAACCAGAAATGACCCCGAGGCAGGTTTGCCCTGTGGGTTTCGGAGGTCTGGGCAATGGTACGCACAGGGAGATAAGCAGAGTGCTAGCTATGGGAGCAAACTCCACTGAAGCACAGTCTTGGACCTGAACTGTGACCTGCATGGGAAACCCGGACAGCTGCTTCTTTGTTTCCTTAGGCTGATTCAAAGCATCTGGCTTGCCAGAATTAATTCAAGAGTTGGACTTATATGGACTGGATGAACTTGACCGTCCTCATATCTTAAAGTATGAAGGACGTTTTCTAGCCTGGACACCTGTGGTTGAAAGAATTTAACTTGACCCAGAGAATTTGTTCTTTGTCTGATTCTTGTGAGAAAAATATCCTAAACCTTAGAATTTTTTCCGACCACTGAAGTTTGGTGAGGCTCCCTGACCATATCTAAGGGTTTATGTTGAGTGGGAGCTGGCCATTTCTTTAAGAACCACCATGTGATGTTAACCGCATGATGTCCACTGAGTAATACCAGCTGACTTCAGAGGCGGCATCTGGGGGAAGGTCGGATTCAATCCAAAAGCCATAATCCAATCACTGCCTGTGTAATGAAATCCCATAAAGCCCTGGACACTGCATCTCCATTAGCTTCCTGACTGGTGAAAGGCATCGGGTTTTAGGAGGATGACATGCCTTTGTTAGGACACTGAAGCCTTAACAATTGCTCTTCTTCTTGACCGGGTCTAACTGTGTATCTTCTTCATGCTGGTCTTGGTCTGCATCCTTTATGATAAAACTATAATCATAACCATGTTACTTTCCCAGGCTGTGTGAATGGTTCTAGTGCTATACTGAATCTGAAATAGTGAGTAGCAGAGCCAGCAAGTCAAAATGGAAGAAGGAGGTCTATAGACACTGAGTT